TCACATTGTCCTTGGCTTGGCACAGGGCTTGGGCACTTGAAGCTTGGGCTCAGTTCAGCAAACATTTTTGACCATATGCCAAGCATCCTACTAGATGATGTACTTACATGCAATTTCTTTCTTTAAACACCTACTATTATCAAAGCTATGCATGTATATAGTGCATGTAAGTTAAATAGTGCTGAATAGTACTTAAGTCTCAACAGTGAGACAGCAATCCTGGTGCCTCTCTCCCCCCACCAACTCCTCATGCCTCTCATGGTGACCCCCTGAAGCCCCCAACACTCTTTACATTGGTACTACATCCAGACTTCTGATGATGTGAGCTGCCCTGTCTCTGGGACCATCTGTTTTAGATACTACCTCAGTTCTATTCATACTCTCCTTCCACCCCCATCTTCCTCCCCACTAGAGTTAATATCACCATTTCTGCTTAAATCCATATTTGGATCTTTTACTATTATGCCTACTTAATATTGTTCACTGCCAAGTTAATCATGATAATTTTTATTTGAATTTATAGCTGAGTCTGCCTACTCTATCACCAAACACCATGAAGCAATTATGCAGAGTCAACTCTGATTATTTTTTACCATTTTCCTTTCCTCCAGCACCATCCAGACACACATCCCCTCCCCAGACATCTTTCTAGAAGTCACTACTCTAAGCAGAACTGGTGGCAGAGCTTCTCTGTGGAGGATGTGCTCTGACTTTGAGATAAGACCTTCCTTCTTCCTCAACTCGGGGACTTTCCTAACCTCACTCCTGCACTGGATTCTTATGTCCTGGGTAGACTTTTGTCTTAATGGGTCACAGACACCTTCCCTTTGCTTCCTGACAAAATAGAATATTTAAGATAAATGTGTTAAGGACTGTGCATAACTGAAACCGTCTTTATTCTACCTTCATCAATTGGAGTTTGGGGTAGATAGAAAATCATTCCCAATTCAAATTCCAACACTTTTGTCTCAGGATCTTTGAGGTTCCGATATTATTTGGACAAATCTGGTATTGATTGGACTCCTGGACATTTGCATGCTTTAAACTCTTTTCTGAAACTGACACTTGTCTTTCTCCCTGATAGGCTGAAATTTCATAGGGCTATGCTTTGAGATAGGTCATCATCATCCACTGTTTTGAGCATTGGTTTGGACCATTCAAGCTGGGAAACCGTCTTTGTGTCATCTGTATCCCTCTCTATTTTCACGCTGAAACCAGATGCTCTTGTAAGCTAGATATTGGGTTTCCTGGATATATCTTCAGTTTTTTGTATTGTTATTGTAGAGTTGATATACAGAGGGGTTACAGTTACATGAATCAGATAATGAATAATGAGTACTATTCTTTTTGAACCATGTCTCCCCCTCCATTGCTCTCCCCTGGTTTTCCCTCCCATCATCACCCACAAGATATACAGTTCATGTTCCTCATAGTGTCTAGAGAGTACCACTTTGTATTTGTTCATCCTTGTTCAACCTTTTACATGTCCTCCCTTACCCTCTCAAGTACAACTAACAAACAAAAGGAAAACAAAAACAGCAACAATGGCAACTGTCTTGTTTCCTTTCCTTGGAGTTCATTTCATAGAATATTATTTTATATGATCATCTAAATATAGCTTATGAGTATCTTCTTTTGGCTTCAGTTTGTGAATGACTGGAGTCCTATATAATTATTAATTTTTTATTCTTTTATCTCCTCTAATATGCTTGATGTCCTTTTATATGTTCTATGTCCTTTCATAAGATCTCACTGATGTTAGCTTCCAACTCATCCACTTAAAAAATATCAGTCATAACTGACTGGATTTAGTTTCCCAAACTCATTTGTTCTTATTTTTTAAAATAAACATATGGAACACAGTCTATTTTTTGTGTGTATCAGTTATAGGGCTTGAACTTAAGGCCTGGGCACTGTCCCTGAGCCTCTTTGTGCTCAGGCTAGTGCTCTACCACTTGAGCCACAGCTCTACTTCTAGTTTTTGAGTGGTTAGTTGGGGATAAGAGTCTCATGGACTTTTCTTCTGGGGCTGGCTTCAACCCATGCTCCTTAGATCTCAGCCTCCTGAGTAGCTAGGATTATAAGTGTGAGCTATCAGTGCCCAGCTGGTCTTTACTTTTTAAATGTCACATCTTCTCCTATCTTAGAATGCCGCTTGGTCTTTATCTCTTCATTTTCTTTCTTATTGAAAACTGCTCATTCTATTATCAGCAGCCTCTAAATATTGGTTGGAAGCTCTTTATAATACTTCCTGTTTCCTGTAGAATTGACCATAGGTCCTGACTTTATGTGCCCATGATAGGAGCTACCTATTACATCAGCCCTTGCTTGTCTCTCTTATCCAGCACTTGGAACCTCCTATTTCTTGAAATCTTTAAGGCTCTGCAGAGAAACAGGGCTGCTTTTTTTTTAAAGGAAACAATCAAGCTTTTTTCCTCCCCATTTTGATAAATATATGATCAGATACATGTAAGCATTACACCTTTGTGTTCCTAAGAGTATCTTCCTTTGGTCTCAGTGTATGTGAATATCTATACTGGCTCTTTCAACCTGATCTGTTCCATTTTACTTTGAATTTCTGCCTAGTTTGTAGAATTGGATGGCTGACACCTCCTAGTTTCCTTCAGGATGGAATCTGTATAGGGTTTCTCATTCTCCTTATTTGTAGTAAGTTTCAAGAGAGGAAGAATAGAAACATCTTTATTTCATGATCTTAAAACCTCAAGTCTACATTAAGTAGACACTAAGCCTATATTAAGTGTTACCTTATCTTTTAATCCTCACAACTCTCACAACTAGCCTTAATAAAAATCAGATTCTAAGAGGTCAGGTTCTCTGCCAAGGTCAAGATGAGAAAGAAAGAAACCATATGTAGCCAAGGGTACGTCCATTCTTGCTTTTACTTGGCCTCACACACACTGACATCAGAGGAGAGCAGCAATCTACAGTCAAGTGTGGGTCAATACTGAGAATTAAAAATTGAAGATGCTGTTAGGGGTAGACTTCTAATAAAGACTATCAAGGAAAAACAAGGAATACTAGAAGTACAGGCTGAATGAATGACACACAGGGAACCCCAAAGAGACCACGGAGAAAGGGAAATGACATTAGTCCTCAGGGAACTTGGAATAAATACTGGTTTTCAGAGATCCAGGAAGAACAATTGAGAGAGCAATGTCATACCTTGAGGGAAAGGCAAATGCTCTTGTGGGCTCTGGGCTTAAGCCCAGTGTCCCCTAGGACAAGGGCTACTCAAGTTTCTCAGGACTGTTTCTCTCTACAGGGGTCAGCTTCAAGGTAACCACAATGTTGTTAAGATAGAAAGTTAGAACTGACAATGTTGCTCCATTCTGGAAGGGCATAGTTCATCATTTTAGGCCAAGAACACATTTTTAGATTTTAAAATCTATGACCAATTTTATTAGAATATGTTAAAAGGTAGCATTTGAGATTCATCTCCAAGAACAGATCTGGTCAGCAATGGCTACATAAAGCAGCCCAGGGAGGACAACTCTGTGGCTCTATCAAGGCTCAGAGAAATAGACTGTCAGATGATCAGCAATTCCTGCCTTAAGAATAGACTAAGAGAGTTAAAAAGCATGTGCTGTCAAATGAAGTATTATTCTGTCATAAAGAAGAATGAAATTATGTCATCTCCAGGAGACTGTATACAACTAAAGATCATTGTGTTTAGCAAAATAACCCAGACTCAGAAAAACAAGTTTCTCGTATTTTGTCTCATAGGTAGAATCTAGATTTTTTTTAATGGCATGAACTTAATAGTGATCCTATGGGGAGGGGCCCGGCAGAAGCGGGGGTAGGAGGAAAAGAGTGGTGAACGTGAGCAAAGTATAAAGTATCAAATGTAAAACTCATTTTTTAAAAGTTTTTAAAGAACTTTTTAAAGACAGCACATGCTATTCTCAGATTCCTATAGTCTTCCCAGATGTGGTCTCCATTAATGTGACCAAGATGCTCTCAATTGGATCTGCACTGGACAAGACAGACCTAACGGAGCATTGTTAGGTGCTGAGACTAATCTCTTGGGTGGACATTGACATACAATACTGGATAGAGACTGTCCCCATCAAGATTGATTTTGAAATTGTGTTCTAGATCAGAATTTTCCCAGTTTGTGGTTCAAGAGACTCTTTCTGTAACACTTCCACTTGGGAAGAGCATGGTGGGGTGCACATTCCTGGGTGGGATTTGGGGAGAGGAAGAGGCCATCCTAGGCAAATGCGAGAAGCCTTCACACTTAGGAAACCTGGTGTTACCCTCCAGGAATCATAGTGGCCCTCTGAAGGCTCCAGACTACACTCTCAGACTCCTGGGGAAAATCTTTGGTAAAGATTATACAGATTGAGCCAGACGCTGATGGCTCACACCTGTAATCCTTGCTACTCAGGAGGCTGAGATCTGAGGCTTATGGTTCAAAGCAAGCCTGGTCAGGAAAGTCCCCAGGAGACTCATCTCCAATTAACCACCAACAAAACAGGAAGTGGTGCTATGGTTCGAAGTGGTAGAGTGCTAACCCTGAATGAAAGAGCTCAGGGACAGCACCTAGGCCCTGAATTCAAACCCCACAACTGACCAATGAGATAGACAGATAGATGATATCCAAAATAAATAGGCACATGCACTATTTCAAGCAGCTCATAGTTTTATCATAAAATACAAACTTTCTAAAATTAAGTGTCTTATTTCTATTTTACCAACAACAACAAAAATAAAAATCACTCATGCTAGCTAAATACAGGTGCACATGTGGTCCAAAAGTATGAATAAGAAGGTGTGCTTTTGGTTTGTGCTATGTGTGAGGGGGTTGTGCGTGAGTGTTGGTCAATAGATGATTCTGGTCTTGCTGTTTTCTGTCTTGGACTTTGGTTGGAATCTTGGCTTTCCAAACTTCATACCAAGCTGTTGCAGAATCCAGAATTCCAATGCCCTTTGCCCTGCTCCAAAGGCTTTAAGGGTGGGGAGGGAAAAGAGAAGGAAATCTAAAAATTGATGCCATTCCCGCTGGAGGAAAAATAGGGGCTGTTCATCAGGGGCCCGCCGGATGTCGAGCCAAACCTGGAAGAGAAAGAATATAGATGCTGTGATGAAATTGCAGATACTGGAGAGACTCGAAGAGAGTAATATATTAATTTTGTGGCTGTCAGAGACTATGAAGACCATGACAAGCTTGGAGGCTGGAAGCTTTAGCTCTGGGAAAACAATATTAAAAATGACACAATTAGAGAACAATAAAGAGCTGCTTCTCTCATTAACTGGGATCAGGAAGACCCCCATCCCCCACACCATACCCCACCCGGAACAAGTAAGGATTATTTCTACAGAACTCAGGCAAGCTCTATGCCAGGATCACAAAAACAGGAAGGTTCCTGGATTGGAGCACCTTACCTGTATGCCTGTGACTTACCCTACCTGTGTGGCTTAACCAAGTGTGCTTCCAAAAAGGTCCCCGACATTGGAGAATACAGGGGCAGGTCCTCGCATTTGATTTTGAAAGTCCAGACAATCCCAGAGCAACATCCTCACTTATCAGCAGCTGCCCACGTCAGCTCCTTCATTTCAAAGTGTCTGAGAAGTAATCTTGTGCCCGGGGCTTTGCTAGACCCTCAGGAAAGGATAAGCCATCTAAATGTGAACCTCAGCTTCCAAGAGCTGCTTCCAAAAACTCCTTGCTTTTTCTCTTGGCATACTTCAAAACAGAGACCTCCCCTCCCCAACCATCTCCTTGACCATGTTGGAATTCCTTCAACCATCTGCTAGGAAACTTTGAAGGGAGCAGAGCTCAGTATATATCACAACAGGACAAACGACTAAATTTAGTCTAATCCACGGATTCTCAACTTCTTTTCAGTCGGGAAGATGCATATTATAGAAAAGATTTGCATGCAAGGCATTCTTCTATACATGAACAAAATAAACACTTTGAGGGGATGAGAGTGGTAGGCGCTAGTGGCTCATGCCTAGCCACCCCACAGAATTAGATCTGAGATTGTGGATCCAAACCAGCCAGATAGTCCGTGAGAATCTCCACTATCTCCAATTATCCATCAAAAGGCTGGAAATGGAGCTATGGATCAAGTGGTAGAGTGCTAGCCTTGAGCAAAATAAAAGCTAAAGGAGAGAGCAGGAATGGACGGGGCAAGGCAGGGGAAAGAAGAAGCACAAGAAACAGACCACTGCATGAACTTGATCCTCAACTGGTAACGGTCGCCGTGGCTCTGTGGGAGCCCCAGCTGATGGCCTCTGCTGACTCCTCACTATCCTCTCTGGTTCCCCTCAGGCTCCTTCCTCCATGCTTCAGGCCACTCCCACTTTCCTCTGGGAGACCAGGCCTCCAGCCTCCACCCTTACAGCTCCCTACCAGTGCTTCTCAGCATCTGACTGTGAGAGCCCAGGTCTGCTCTCCCTCCTGAGGACAGAGGTGCCCTCCCTGCTTGCATGGCAGTGTTGGATAGGAGCATTGCTGGCCTGCCAGTGGCTCCTCGGGGACTCACTGCAGCCTCATGCAGTGACACTTCCAGGAAGGTGATACGCCGCCCCTGTACAGACCTCCTTCTCCCCTCCCCGCCCCTTCCCAGGCTCGCCTCCAAACTCTCTCCTGTTTCTCTCTCCTCTGCCCAGCACTTCACTCCGATGTGCACAAATCATTGGGTCCCCAAGCCTACCAGCCAGAAGCTTTGCATAATCCAACCCCACCCTTCCCTTTCCAATCCTATATGCCTCCTTTCTGAGGGACAAATCTAATACTTCAACCAGCTGCTTGTATTCCCTGGTCTCTAGCTGCCCTGCATCCTTCCACCTGGGGCAGGGGGGGCCTTCCTCCCAGATTCCTCCTTCCTTCCTGTTTACCGTATGAGCACACACACGTGTGCATGTGCACACAGATGCACACATATGCATGTATGTGCACATCTGTGTACACATGTGTACATACAGATGTGCAGGCACACACATATACACACAGGCTCTGCAAGGCTCTGCCTCTGGCCTTGGGCCCTCGACTTCGATGGCCCTCTACTTTGCCTGGACACTAATAGTGTTGTGTTCATGTCTCATGTGTTCACGGTCTCTGAAGGGAGAGAGTGGAGGTAGGCAGGATGTCCTTTTCATCCCAACGTCCCCTGGGGGCCGAATTCAAATTAACAAAGCATTTTCCAGGATGCTGGGTGCGTCACACCACCCTGTGATCTACAAAATGTAGACAGATAAGGAGAGAGGGAAGGGAGGGAAGAAGAAATAGGAGGGAGGGAGCATAAAAGGATCTGCGGATATTATGTTCAAAAAACACTATCGACCACCTTACTGAACATTCCCCATGCACCCTAGGAAATTAAATGATCTGAGAAATCCAACAGTTAAGAAATCTGTTTATCTTTTGTTTCTCACAGTTTCTCCCAAACCCATCTGACTACAGAAACCTCTTCCTTGCATTTGCCCCTTTTAAGTAGGTGTTCAGGAACAGTCTGGTTGAGTCTGGGGACATAGGGTGGATATCACCTGGAAGAGCCTGGGTGGATCTCCAAAAGGGGCCTCCCAGACCCCAGGCCCTGCTCACCTCCACACCAGGTGAGGAGTCTGCATGCAGGTGGGCAGGCCAGGAAGCAATGTCAGGTTGGGGGTGGGGAAACGTGCTTCTAATCCTAGAGTTTCCAACCTGGAGCGCACATTGGGCCTGGCAGCCTGGGATCCTTGGAGCTCATATGGCATTATCAAAATTAGTTGAGGGTTTGCTGGGTGGCAGTGAGTGGCTACTTATTGTATTAAAATAAACACAAATTGGGTACTGGATAGCAGACAAAATTTGAGCAGAATTTTCAGCTTAATTATTGAGTTTGTGTTGGCTTTTTTTTCCCCTGCTAAGTCCTCAGAGTGTCCCAGGAAATGGATTCTCTGTCTCTCTCTGTCTCTGTGTCTCTGTCTCTGTGTCTCTGTCTCTGTCTGTCTTTCTCTCTGTCTCTGTCTGTCTGTCTGTCTGTCTCTCTCTCTCTCTACTGTTGGGGACAGAGCTTTGGTGGGAAAACGTGCTGTAATAAACACCAGAATGCCATTGGGCACAGCCCGTTGGGAAGTCAATGGGATATTTGGAAGATTAAGCCTCGTCAAAACTCAGGAGGTAGCCAGTGGCCATGGGAGCCAGACGATTACCTGCCCATGTCTTGGGGTAAAGCAAGCAAGTTCCTAATGTGTCTGCCTCTGCCCATAGAGTGTGTTATCCCTTACTTCTGATTGAGCACTTGATGGTCTGCAATCAGACTACAGCACTGCAGCCTCAACAGACTTTCAAGTGGGGCCTCCTAGTCCGCAGACCTCTACACCGGGAGCCGCATGGCCTCCACAAGCAAAAGACCTCCCACTCCACCACAGCCATGAGACACACATACCAAGAGAGTCTCTGCAAGGCACCTCTCTCCCAACACCTCCCTGCCCTGACTATGAATCAGTCCTTCCAGGGTGGGATGAGGACTTACCCATATCCCTGGGGGAAGAGGTACTGTGGTCCATCTCCTGCCAAAGGGGAAGGGTCTCGGGGATTGGTGGACAGCTTCTGCGGTGTCCTCTGAGGATAGGGATAGTTGGGCTGCACAAAGGGGATATAGCTCAGCAGGGGGGTGTAAGAAGAGCGGAAAATCTGCTGGCCCATCTGTTGTGGGTTGTATGGCGTCATCTGAAAATCAAGAGAGGAGAGTGGAGGGAGGTCATTGTTCCCAGGCCTTGACCCCAGCCCCCTCTACCACTTCTGTGCCTCTGTGCCCCTAGCCACCCAAGAAGATAAGTTTGGATTGAAAAAGCCCAAGAATCAACGTGGGTAGTAGTGGTAAGCCTGACAAGGTAAGATAATTGACCTGCACCTCAATTTCCCTGTCTGTAAAATGGGCAGACACTATCAAGCAGTGTGTGTGTGTGTGTGTGTGTGTGTATTGAGTCCATTGATACAAAGATTGGGACACATAACACTTCCCTTCCCTTCCCTGACTCCCCATCTTTCAGTCAACAACTAACCTTAAAGCTCCTTGATCATTTTTAAGGACTTTATTATCCTCTTCCTTCCCCTCCCCATACATGTTTATACAACTCTGGCTTTGATCTCCATGTCTTAACAGAGTCTAAGTCCAAGACAGCTCTGCCCAGTGGAAATTCCTGCAATGGCCAAAGTGTTCTGTATCTGAGCTACTTAATACATTGTACATTTGACTATTGAATACTTGAAATATGCCTGGGTGTGCAGCTGAATTACAAATTTCACTTTATTGTAATTTATTTAAATCTAAATAGCCACATGTGGCTAGTGGCTAGAATACTGGACAATAGAGTGGAAAGACAGGATTGTGGGGGTTTTCTGGAACCGCCTAGAGCAAACTCACTAAGAAGTATTCCAGCCAGTGCCCTCTCTGGAATCTAGGCCCTCTCCAAGTGCTTGCATTTATCTACACAGAGAGGATGCAGGGACTGGCCATACTGGACACAGGCATCAAAAGCCCCAGAGGATGGGCCTGCCTGGAGCCTGTGGAAGGAACATGAATGGGCAGGCACCTCCCAAGATGGACCCTGTGTGGCCTGTGGCAAGAAATATCCATGGTCTCACTAGGCAGAGTGGCAGGAGACTGAGATCTGAGGATCAAGGTTCAAATCCAGCCTACTCAGCAAAGTCTATGAGACTCTTATCTCTAATTAAATATCAAAAAGCCAAAAGTGGAGCTGTGTCTTAAGTGGTAGAGCATTAGCCTTGAAAGAAGGTCAGGGACAGTGCCCAGACCCTGATTTCAAGCCCTGGGCCCTGATTTCAAGCACACACACACACACACAAATTAATAATAAATATAATAATAATAATGATGATGATGATGATGTTACCCTGGGTCTCCTTGGTGGGAAGACATGTCTGGCCCTAGCTGAACCTGGATCAGAAGAAGCCAATCTTAGAGCTCAAACAAACTGTGTTAGAAATGTTGCCACAATTCTATGGAGGTGATAAAAGCCCTCAAACAGAGCTTTGTCAACTGTTCTCCAGATCATGCTCTCCTCTCAGTGAACAGCACAACACTGTGCCTTATCTGAGTTTACACAGGTAAGTTTACGCAAACAGACACCACCGGAAGGATCTATCAAAACCAGTAAAGAGTAATGGCCTCTAAGTTCTTTTTTTATTGCTGTGTTCTTACATGACTTCTCCAATATACATGCATGCACCCATGCACAACACCCCCCCCCCACACACACACCTGCATAATGGCCTAAAGCTCCTGCATCTTCAGCCCAGACCCAAAGGGAGGCACACGAGGAACAGACCTGAACCTGCCAACCCACCTGAAGGTCCCTTCAGTACTGAGGCCACAGCAAACCCTAACTTGTCCATGAGCCTCCTGACTTCAAGCAAGTTGATCTGAGTCTCAGTTTCCTCATCTATGAACTCCCCCTCATAGGGGTAGGTAGGCATGGCAAGGCAAGCACTTAATGGAAGGTCTGGCCCACTATGTGGGCTCCATTAGGTGCCAGCTGTTGCCATGGGTTAAGTGGGGACGTTAGTTTGTGTTTCTGAGAAGAAGGGAGGGAGGGAAGCACTGGGGCCAACTGTGATGGGTCAGAAAGTACAGCGGGTGGCCAGCGGCCCAGAGACAAGGGAGCAGATGGCCTTGTGACCCAAAGGTCTGCGTGGATCTGGGACAGAGGAAGGGGAGATGTGTCACCTACTCACCTGTCTGGAGTAGCACCCCAGCTGGGGATGCATGGCTTGCTGGTAAGGTAACCTCGCCGGCAGCTGTGGGTAGAGACCCTGAGGAGGAAGGAAGGGAGGCTCAGCACTGCAGGGCAAGGGCTCCCGGCCAGAGAGCAGCTGCTGGGCAGCTCAGCTTCTGGCTCATTACACTTGAATCTGCCCGTGGGCTTGAGCTCCTCACAGCCCTTGGATGGATGGCCATTGACATGAGCTGCCTGAGGCCAGCTGGGGTTGGGTGGCATTGACTCAACTCAGCCCACATGGAGCGCTCTTCAGCAGCCTTTTTGGTATTTAGGGAAAATTTTCAGAGCTTATCTCAGGGATAACCAGATCTATCCCTTTCTGGCTACTGTGCAACCCTTGGGCAAATCACTTTGCCTCTCTGTGCCTCTTTTTCCTTCTCTACCAAAGTATGTGTGTTCAGGCCTGTACAGTTTGTGCCACAAACAGATGTGTCTACACGTCTTTTCTACGTGACTTTGTCTGGATGCCTCCCTGCATGTGTCTTTCCGCCATGTCTGAATACGTGTGCATGTGTGTGTCTGTACAGCTGTGTGCGTGTGTGTACAGATGTGCATCTGTGTTCCCACGTGTGTTTACCCGGATCTCTGCTGCTGCACAGGGGTGGGTGGATGCATCAGAAGAGCTGGGAACGGTACTGCACACAGTAAGGACTCTGTAAATGTTACGTCTGTCCATCATCATCTCCCACTGCCCCCTCCTTTGAAAAGGCTCTCTGGCAGCTCAGGCCAAAGAGGAATGGGCGGAAGGAGCCTTGAGGCCATACACCGACATGAGATACACGCAGGGGACCGCCCCGGGGAGTAGGCTAGCCCAGGACCAATCCGGCCTCAGGTTACATCCCCACCTGCCAATCCAGGGTTCCCCAGGTGAGACTCCAGTTCTGAAGCCCCGTTTAGCCAAGGACTTCTGCCCAGTGCCTCTGCGTCCCAGGGGCTACTGCCACGAAGGGCTCTGCATGTGCCCATTATCAAGGCCCTGAACGTTGACACTACGCTCTTGATGTCTCTCTCAGCTCTGGGTTCAACCACCTCCCACCCCCACCCCCAGCTTTCCCTGTGTCTCCCTTTCCACCTCCCCAAGAGAAGACATCCTTCAGGGTCACCCCTCCCATCTCCACCAACCCTTGCCTGAAACCAGCCTCCTGCCCGCTGCTACCCCAAATCCCACAGTCCACGGCAGCCTCTCAACATCATGGCCCAGCTGGGTGTTGTTGCAACCCAACCCAGCCCTGAACCTGGGCAGGGGTGCCCTGCAGAGTGGGGGAGGGGTGTGTTAAACCTTTCTCAGCCCTCAGGGAGCTCCAAGGCCACTGGGCAGGCTGCCTAGGGTCTCTCCCTCGGGTGGCTCCTTTGGGCCCCATTAGCACTCCATCTGTCCCCTTCTCCAGTCAGGGAGGGTGGGCAGGCCTCCACCCTCCCTGGAGTCTGTGGAGGAGAGGCCACTGGCCCACCTGTTCCCAGTTCATTGGTAGGAGCAACACTGGGCCACTGAAGAGATGTTTCTAGGTGTTTGAAAGTCATGAGCACAGATAAATAAAACACCAGCAATTCTTTGCTGGAGGCCACAGCCTTTTTGTACAAGTCTCCCTTCTTAATCCGGAGCTGTCTTTATGCCAAACGGCCTAGAAGCTGGAGCCTGTGTCCAGGTCTGGGCCTTCTCCTCCTCTGAGTCCTTCCAGTCCCTCCAGAGCTCTGAGAAAATTAATTAGGGACCTCATCTTTATTCCTGTGGCCAAGTAGAGAAGAGACTAGGATAGACTACTCTCTGCTCCTCCTTTCTGTTGGCCCCTTTCACCCCCAAGGTCTCCAGAGCTCCCCAGTCCCAGGACTGCATTATTAAATTTAAAAATTTTTAGTGTTACTTTTCAGAGTTTAGAGCAACCTTTCCCCAGCACAAGCTCAGTTATAACAAATCAATCTATGCTGTTATTGCTGCTGCTGTTGTAGTTTTGATGAGCCCACCTCACAAACAGAGCAGTTAATTCACTTGCCCAAGGCCACACAGCTTGGAGGCAGCAGAGTCCCAGTGTATTGATCGCCAAATCTGCCTTTCTCACATGATTTCAGGGCCCTTGATTAGCTCCCATGAAGCCAAGGAAAACATCATGAAGAATGAGACTGTAAGAAGATAAATTACTCTACCTTTCTTATTGCCTGCAAGAGTTAACACTTTTCAGTTGACTTCATCTCAGTCCATTTAGTGCCTAAACTGCCTCACAGAAAAACAGAGCGGACAGGACGCCCAGCCAAGGCCATTTCGCCAGTTCTGCCAATGAAACTGGGGTACATCACCCTATGCATCACCTGGTGCAAACGCAGAAGTCCCTCAAGGCAGAGGACCATCCTCAGCCTGTGCTGTTGTAGAGCTAAGGTTGGTAAACTACTCACATGAATGAGCAAATAAGTAAGCAGCAATGATTGAGCCAGTGAGGAGGTGAAAAATGGAGGGTAAGCAAGGCCCAAATTGCAAGGGGCATCTGCATATCAGCAGGTCCATGAATCAATGGTCGGCACACATGTCTCAAAATGCCATCACTAATAGGAAACTTGTCCACATCACTTTCACCATAGGTCATCTTTCACTGAAGTTGCTCACCTAGGTTGATGGGGTGTAAGGTGGGTTTTTTTGGTAACTGGGGAGAGTAGGTACCTTTTCTCTTTAGCAAATAAACTCCAGAGCTATTGCTAAACTCCTTCAAGATTCAGCAACAAAGCCTGAAGCTCAGTATTTGTTTATTTATTTATGTATGCCAGTGGTGGGACTTGAACTCAGGGCCTGGGAGCTATCCTTGAGCTCTTTTGCTCAAGGCCAGCACTCTACCACTTTGAGTCACAGCCCCACTTTTGGTTTTTGAGTGGTTAATGGGAGATAAGTCTCACAGGGACTTTCCTGCCCAGGCGGGCTTTGAACCACAATCCTCAGATCTCAGCCTATTGAGTAGTTAGGATTACATGCCTAAGCCACAGGCTCCCAGCTTTCTTACTTTTAATTTTGTTGTTGTTCTAGGGTTTGAACTCGGGGCCCTATGTTTGCTAGGCAGGTGCTATACTGCTGAGCCATGCCTCCACCCTTGAGCCTCTTTGTGCTCAAGGCTACTGGTCTACCACTGGGACCACATTGCTACTTCTGGCTTTTTCTGAGTAGTTTATTGGAGATAAAATTCTCATGCATTTCTGCCCAGGCTATCTTCAAACCACAATACTCAGCTCTCAGCTTCCCTAGTAGCTGGGATTACAGATGTGAGCCACTGGCACCTGGCTTTATTTTAAGCTTTTCGCTGTAGCTAGGATGACAGATGTGCACCCTTACACTCAGTTACGAGTTGACCAAGGGGGTCTTTCAAATGTTTCTACCCTGGCAGGCGTTAACAGTTTCCAAGTAGCTGGGATTATAGACATGAGCCGTCAGTGCCCAGTTCAGAGTCTTTATATTGAGTGCAGGCGGTCCCCTTCTGTATACCAATCTAAGCCATAAAGTTGTTGCTCTGTTGTAAAGAAATAAATGATGCAGGCCACTGAGGGAGAGTGAAAAGAGACAAGGAAGACAAATTGAGTACTGAACGTATTTCCTTCCATTTTCCCTTTCCGGGGCTTGTGGGGTCAGGCTGGGACAATAGAGGAGCCCAAGTCCTGGAAGGATAGGGCCAACCACATTCTTAACGCTTCCCCATTCAAACTTCCTGCTGTTCTGGAGAGGAGCACGTAGGGTAGCCGAGCACCGAGAAATCTTAGAATGCTGAGCTCTACCTAAAGGGACCAGTTACATGATTGGATTGGACAAGGGCTTCAACTAGAGTGGACATTGATCTGATTCCCCCTCCTATGACTGAGTGGGCTGCAGCTCTTAAGGGATATTAAGTTAAATGGACAAAATAAAGAAACGACATTTTCCCTGCATAAATAAGTTTGGTTAGGAAAGTATCAAACTCTGTTACCAGTCTTGGGTGTTTTGTTTGTGTCTGACCACTAATTCTCCTTCAGCTAAGAGCTCAAGCCTAAGACAATGTGAAAAACCCATTCGAAGATACAAAGTAAGACAGCCTGCCTTTGCACTGGTGACTCACACCTGAAATCTTAGCTACTCTTCTCGGCGAGCTGAGATCTGAGGATCATGATTCAAAGCAGCCAGAAAAGTCCATGACACTCTTAATCTTCAATTTACCAGCAAAAAGCCAGTAGTGGTGGTGTAGCTCAGGTGGTAGAGTGCTTCCCTGAGCAAAGAAGCCAAGCATGAGGCCCTTATGTCAAGCCTTAGCACTGGTACAAAAAAGAAAAAAATAGTAATAATAATAGAAGGCAGCCTAGATGTAATTTAAAGGAGGAATATGGTCGTCATTTGTCATCCAAACCAAGTCACTAAGGAGTGAAAGAAGGTACCATTAATAGGGTCAAATGATCTAGGCCGGGACTGTCCCATCCAGGAAACAGGTGGGAAGCAAGGACTGGGCCATCTTCCTCATCTGGGAGCCTGAAGTCGGAGCACTTGACCAGCTAAGGCTCTCAAAGAGCTGTAGAATCAGCTTGGTGTGAACTGGAGTTCAGGTAGCAGAAGATTAGAACTAAGTATGCATGCTTGAGTGTGGACCTATCTAAGGGTTGGTCTGGTAGGATCACAAGGAAATCCTAATGGACAAGCTCACAAGTTGATAGTGCCCTACCATCATTCCCGTGATACCTCTGGACTTGGGCGGACTTCAATTCAAGCAGAGTCCGAAGGCTCTTTGTGAAAGAGGCTCCTGCCAGTCACACTTCCTCCTGCTCCTCTTCCCCCCTACTAGAAACCCCATGATGGCCACAAGGGGAGCCAAAGCCTGCTCAGCTCACTCACCTGGTACTGCGGGAAGGTGGAGTGGTTCGTGAACATCGGTGCAGGTGGGCAATTCAGGTTGAGCCAGAGTGGCTGATTCAATGTTGTTGAGGTCAAGGCTGTGGCAAAGCGTGGGGTGAACACATTCCCTGTGTACTTAAGGTTGTTCTTGTCAGCAACTGGTACAGGTGGATTCACTGCAAGCCACAGGAGAGGGACAGTGATTCAGGGACAGGGGTAGCAAGAGACCACAACAACCCCAGAGTCATACTATTAAAGGGTTAGGGCTTTTAGGCTCCAAGAGGACCTCAAAGTTCACACCTTGCCATCATTAATTCACACCTTCCAAAGAGCTGGAAATTCCAGCTTGGTCTGCACAGAGCCTTTCCTGCGGTCTTTCACTAATGAATGAGAGATACAATAAACTGGGTGCTAGGGCTGCGCTTCCTCTATTTACAAAGTCAAGTTCCTCCAACGGCTTTAGAAAAATCCACCTTTACTCCAATAAGTGTTATGCCACTGGAGTTCATTCTTAACAAATGTTCCCACCAGGGCTGTACGCTTGACAGCATTGGAAACCTGGGACCATATTCTTTCTGTCTGGGGATAATTTTCTTTTATATATTTTTGAGACAAGGTCTTGCTCTGTAACACAGCTGACCTCTGCAATGACTGACCTCAAGCTCATGACCCCTCTGGTCTCTATCCTCTGAGGACTGGTGTGACAGATGTGAACTACACCCTGCTTAGCCATCATTTTCTTTTGTTGTTTGTTTTTTTTTTGTTATCTTTAAGTAGTTGCACAAAGGAGTTGCCATTCAAGAAAGCAGTTTATGAATACAGTGTGTCTTGATCAATATCACCCTTTTCAAACATACATTGGAGGATATGTATTGATCTTTTTGCCATTTAATAAAGTAGTTTATGAGTACAATGCATCTTGAAGGGAGGGTGAAAATGTTGAAGGGGATGACACGGATCAAGAGGCAATCATTGTCTTAAACCTTTTAAAACATGAACTCAGTTAGTGTAGAGTGGCTCAAAATTAGTCTAAGAGAATAACAGTAGGTCAAGTTGTTTGTGGAAACAATCTTGAGTTCTCTTCCTTTACAAGATGTCCTGTAGGTATATGGAATCAGAAATGGGTCCTCAGTTTCCCCTTTACTTGCATATGTCACCCTTTTTTGGGGGGGGATTGTTTATGGAAATGAGTTTTGACAGTTGCTGAAGTGCCAAAGAGAGAAAATAGGGACATGAATCCTGTCAATGTAAAAATATTCTAAAGCATGTGCTTTTCTTTGGTTTGTTTAGACGACTTGAGAAATGATAATATATTCTGGGTCAGGGTGTATTCCATATTGACTGCTGACAACAAACAACTCCCAAACATCAGCTACTTTCCCAATAAAAGACACAGAGAGAAAATCATTTCCCCCCGTATTAGGAGTTTAAAACTCCTGACAACCAAGGAAAGTCAGTGACTTCCCCATGGAGAAGGAAATGGCACCTCTGGGCCAGCGAGGAATTTGGGGGTCCCTTTCCCTACAGCCCCTTCCTGGATAGGGTCCACTTACATTTCAGCTCCAATCCATCCACCTCTACTTTACTTGAGTTCTTAGTGGCCCCAAAGAACTCATAGAGCAGGTTCTTCTCAGCTGGCCATGCAGGCTTCTTGGTGGGTAAGGCCATGGGTGTGGTGCCCACTGGGTCACTGCGGCTTTCCTCACTGCCAGTGTCCTTCCGGCTGTGAGGCCACTGGCTGAGAAAGAGGCTCTCTTGACCCTTGGTTGGCTCTTTGGTGCCAGGGTTCCATTCTGTAGCAGGAAAGAAACGGAGTCAATGTCTCTGGAAGCCCACATGCTGGAATGCAAGAGCAGGTTCTTTGAGTGGTCCATGGTAGTTGATGGATCCTCCCTATCAGATGACTGAGGCTCAGACCAGACCAGGGAAAACTCAAACTCAGTTAGATGCGACCCCTCTCGTCAAGGCCTTTCCTCATCACTGACCATCCTAGCCTTCCTGTCTCATCCCTCCTTTCATCCATCTTTATCTTCTTTCTTCCTTCCATTCATCCACAATCCTGGCTGGGGACATCAAGATGACATGAACCTAGTTTTTGGTACCATGGAGCACATGGCTTAGCGGGGAAACCCACATCCCTACACAACACACTGTTTGGTCCCCCCTCACGGACTCTACCTCTGTTGTGTTGTTCATGAGCAATTCAACTCTCTCATCAGTGCCAGGCTATGCCCTGAGTGCTAGAGACACAGCAATGAGTCAGAGCCAGACACAGCCCTGCAGGGGCTCACAACAACAAAGAAGAAAGAGACATGCCCAGAAATAGCTCCAGGATAAGGCAGATGGGCACCGGGAGGTGACACAAGGGATAAAATGGGAGAAGGAACTGGCTAAGATCACATCTTGTGATCACCACTTCACCTTGTTACCAATGGCCTTTTCTTCCCTGGACGAAGGAGGGTTCTGGCAAGGCCTCGCACACAGGGGTGCTGGGGAGAAAGGCGCCACAAGCTTGGGCGACCACAGACAAAAATGAGGAGCATAAAAGAGACAAACTGTGTCTGCAGCGTACCCAAGGGACACAATGGTGCCAGACTCAGGCCTTACTCCAAATAGACTTGAGTGTTCAATCTGCCTGGGCAAGGACACTGCACTGCTACGGGCCCCCTTAGCAGAACTTCCACCATAGAGCCACTTAGCATGGGAGCTCTTTCTTAAAGCTCTACATATGCAACAGAAAGGGACAAGGCCTATCTGCATCTGATCATATGAAATAATAGTTATCAAAATGAACTCCAGGAAATGAAATCAAGAGGGTTTTTTTAATTTGTTGTTTATTGTTTTTGTTTTCTTTCCTTTTTGTTCTATTTGCTCATTTGTCTGTCATTGGGAGTGTAAGGGGAGGCAGAGAGGAGGGACAAAGTGTGAACAAATACAGCAATGGTACTCACTGGACAGTATGTTGAAAATGAACTATACAACTTGTGAGTGGGGATGGGAGGGAAAAACTGGGAGAGAGCAAAGGAAGGGGTGACATTGTCCAAATGGAAATGTACTCTTTACCTGAGTTATATAACAGTAACCTCCCTATCACCTTAATAATAACAATAAAAAACAAAAAAAACTCTGCATATGTGTGAGCACCTGTGTGTTACATGCACGAATGTGTGAGTGCATGCATGTGTGCGTGCATGCATGCATGCGCACAACAGTAGATGGAAAACAGTCCAAGAAAATAATTAGATCTGTACTACCATAGTATAATTCTTGTCATTATTCTCTAAGTAATACACAACAACTATTATTTACATAGCATGTACATTCAATTTTGGAATCATAAATAATTTGGAGATGGGGGAATTAGATGCTATTTTTAAAATAAGAGATATGATTCTGTGGGTTTTGGTATTCAAAAGAGGGGATCCCAAAACTAAGATATGAAGAGACAACTATATATTGTATGTGTGAAAGTATGTGTGTGAGTTGGGGGGCGGGGGTGCCAGGGAAGGGGGCCTTGCCCTCCCAGCCTCCCTCACTCCTTCCCCAGCCTGCTGGTCTCTGAAGGTTTCCACAGAGCTTCGCTAGAAACCTACTTTCTGCCTGGGCTAATTGCACCTGTGTAGCTGATGGCTGCATGGTAAGGCTGGATCAGAGGAGCCATGGCTCAGTGTCACCATGGGGAGCATACATGATCCCCCTAGCTCTTGGACCCCCAACCCAGCCATCTTGAGCTTTATCTGTACCAGACTGGACCTGCTCCTCTAGTGCCAGCCCAGCAAAGGGAATAGCTGCTCCAGCCTGGGCCAATTTAGAAGACAATGACATTTTTAGCAAAACCTGTCCCTGGAGTCTTCCAAGAGTTTCTCTGGTTGCTGAGTTTAGCCCCCAGCTAGTGTGCTGAAATAACATACTCACTAATAATAGGCCTTTCCCCAGAGACCAATACACCTGAGGCCTCATGAACACACCTACAGCCCCTTAAACATCTGCAAGGCTCCACCTACACACACACACACACACACACACACACACACACACACACACACCTCCCTGTATTGCCTATGCCTCACTTATACTTTCAAAACCATACATGTGACAGACACATGTACCAATATACACAGACAACTCAGATGCACCAAACTCTCCTTGGCATACCTCTGCCCATACATTTGTACACAAAGACACTCAAATAACAGTGGGTAGCATGAGTGTGCAGGATACCTCCAATACCATTGCCATCAGCAAGGAGCATGGGTAGTACCTCCAGGAAGAGGAAGAGAAGGGAGGTCCTGGGGAGGGGCTCAGCCCTCTCCTACCTATAGTTCCATCATCCTAAGGCCCTCTATGCCCTTCCAGGACTGCCCAGCACTGAGTCCAGGCAGCTGGCCTAACCCTGGCTTCAATTCCCTGGGCTTCCTCCAATGCTCCAGAATTGTTTTCTCCAGGCACTCATGATGCTCACAGCCCTGGAGTGATTCCACTTTTGATTCACATGAGGATGCTCTATTCTTTTGGTGACTGCTTGCTATCCGTCTGCCCTCTTGGGGTCACCTGGACTGGCTAGATCAAAGCAAAATGCAGAATCCTGGTGGGGGACCACAAAGATGGAGGAGATGTCTGGATTTCCGGGGCAGGAGGCTGTGCCCCTCACTAGGGAGTAGAAATGCATTTTCTACATCTCTGAAGTCCCAGAGAACAAATCTAAGGACCAACAAGTATTGAACTATGCCTGAGTAACTTCCACTTCCATGTCTTGCCCCAGAGAGAGAGAAAGAGAGAAAAGACCTCATGGCTACAGCAGGTAACTCCAACAGAAGCCAAATAGCTGCCAACCCAATTCCTTCTCTGGGACAGCTTTAACAGCCCATCCCCTCTTCTGCCTGGTTCCCAGCCCCACTCACCCATCAAATGGTGGCCTTCCCCAGCAGGGTCAGTCTTGGAGCAGATCTTGGCAAACACAGGCAGCTGCCTCTTCTGAGCAGGAAGATCGGCGAGCTTGTCAGGGGATGCTGGAGGAGGCGGGGGTGGCAGCAGCAGAAATGGGCCCAGTCCCGCAGCCTCCCGGGGTCCTGAGCTACTGAACATGTTATTCTTTAGGAAGTCCTTGATGACCTTTGTCTCCTCCAATACCATCTTATTGTCTGGGGTTTTGGACATTGCGGTGGACTTCAGTGGGAATTGGGCCAGGAGCTTGCTGATCTCTGTGTTGGTGGCGCTCAGGCTGTGGCTCTGGTCTTTGGTCCCCTTGGTACTACTCTTGACCTTAGTGGCACGCAGGATGCCAGTGACGGTAGACATACCAGAGTCCTGCCGGCTGCCAATGACAGCCACCGCCATCTTCTGTTCCTGATGCTTGTCACCTCCTGTAGTCATGGAGGCTGCTGGGCGCTCACTGCTGCTGGTGCTGGTACTGCTGCTGCTGCTGCTACTGCTGGCCACCAGAGGAGGCGCAAAAAGGCAGGAGGCCGGCTCTCTGGTCCCCAGGGGGGCGCCACCGCATGCTTCTCGCTCCCTGGAGCTCTCCTGGAGCAGAATGAGGTGTTCTTTGGTGAGACTTAGGAACTCCTGTTCCACTAGCAGGGAGATTTCATCCTTGCCACTGCCCAGCTCCAGAGCTCTGCAAACAGGTCAAAGACAAGGCAGCCTAAGTGCCAGCCAGCTCACCAAGGGGTGGGGTGGGGGCGGGCCCTGCTGCGGGACGTAGAGCCCCAGGAAGACCGCATGGATTTGCACAGCCTGATGAAAATACATTTCCTCGTGTGTGAGAGAGACCTGCTGCTTTCTCAAGAAAGGAAACAGACGCCAAGCATCCCCAAAGGGTGCAATGCCAGCTGATAGGGGCACATACATGTGCTTGATACACTCGTGTCAAGAACTAGGCATATACATGCCAGTGTCATCATACACAGAACTGGGCCCCCGGCCCTAGGCTCAAGGACTGCTTCTTGTCCTCTGCATACATTCTTTAGTTTCTGGGTCCTGCTGAGATCCAGAAGTCCTGGGGCAGGACCAGGGGGAAGAGCTATGTACCCGAAGACCCAAGGGGTGTGTGGTTCCCTGTTGCCCTTGAATCTCAGCCTTCAAATGCCCTCCCAAGACTTGAGACAGAGATCAATGCTAGAAGCAATGCAGACTCCACACAGACCTGGCTTCGAATGCAGGTTCCTCAGAGTCTTCTGCTGTAACATGAGTATGACACCCAGCAGCACCTTCCTCACCAGAGGGTCAGAGAATGTGGTGAGGGGCCCAGTAGATACCAGCAATGAGTGCTGCTAGTATGGGCTGAGCCTGTCAAGCTCCTGTGAGGCCAGCAGGGCTGTGTACAAGGGAAGGCCACTTCTTCTCTTACCCTCCCCTTGCCCTTTTCTCTCCCTCTCTCCTACATACCCCTCTCTCCTTTCCCTCTCACCTGCCCTTTCCTCTCCTCCTCCCATCTTCTCCTCTCTCACTTATTCCCTTCCTTTTGCCTCCTTTCCATGTCTAGGCTATAAATAGCCCCACTCTTGTGGCTGTGCCCTTGGGAACAATCAGAATAAAGAGGTTGCCAACCCGTGGCCCCAAGTTTCTCATCTTCGTTCTCCTCCTCCTGCTCTACAAGGGAACAGGTAAGCCTCAAGTCTCCGGCATCCAACATTGGAAGGACTTGCTTCCCGCCTTCCCTCCCCACCCTCGGTGCTTTACAAAGCAAGCTGTTATGTCAGGAGCTTTGCTGAATCCTAAAGACTCACTACAATGATGTTAATTTTCAAAATCTTGATGATGATATTGTGGTTCCATTTGAACAACAGCAGCAACAAAAAAAGGAGTCCTTATCTCTCAGAGCCTCATGCTGGAGTATTTACAGATCAAATTATATCTAGAGTTTTCTTTTAAATTAATCCAGCACGAGGCAGGGGAAAAAGAGGGAGCTAAACAGAAAGAATAAAGGTGGGGCTACACACGATCCACTCTACTTGAGTCTGCTTGGTTTCTGTCAATCCTGTTATGGTGTGTGTGTGTGTGTGTGTGTGTGTGTGTGTGTGTGTGTGTGTGTGTGTAAACAAAAATGTTACACACATACACTTACAAAAAGCTCATCACAGAATCCTTTAAAGGAGCACAAGCCTGTCATACAGCAAGCCAGAAAATGTTCATGGTGTAGCTCCCTCCTAGCAGGCTATATTATCAGGGGTTAGATCAGTTGTGGTGTACGCCTAGAGGCCTTTGCCCAAACTGCCCCCCCATGCTATTGGCACCTGTGGAAATGCCGAAGGCACCTTTTGTCTCTACCTGCAGCCCTGTGGCATCTGAAAACACACCCATGTTGATCTTGGTTGCTACCTTCCAAACTCACAAGCAATCTTGGGGAACTAACTTCCAGAGCTTGTGCTCCCTTCTGGTTATTAGCCTCTGCACATCCAGTCCCATGAGGCTCTTAAGAAGTTGGCATTTCTAGACAGGGCAGCACCTTGTGCCAACAACAGAGCAGCCCAGCTGTCTCTGAGCCCTCTACCACCCCTCAAAGGCCATCCTGGACAACCTCTGTGTTGATCCTACCACCAGCTCAGAGAGTGGAGCCAGGCATCCACACCCACTCTATCTGATCCTCTCCTTGCCCTTGGTCATTACAGAGTGTCATCACTGTGAGTGGGAAGAGTGACCCAGACAGGCCTCCAGCCTTGTCACCATGCGGACAGGGAAGAAGCTGGTGTGGAGATAGGGCTGGTCCAGCTGCCCTCATTCTCCTCACCAGCCCCAGCCCACGCTTCCTTTCGCTTCTTTTCTGGAAGTTATCCAGTGACGTCCCCTGGCGCTTCCACTAAGGCTTCGCTCCTCCATCTAAATGCAATCAGGGACATTTCTGCTCCCGTCCTGTGCCTCCAGCCCGTGAAGATCATCACAGTGGATCCTGAGCCTGTCATCCATGGCATTAGTGGTCCCTGACAGCTTTGTGTCAGTTGTATGTCTGATGAGCTTGTCTGCGGAGGCTTTTGCCAATTTGCAGATAGAAATGTTGAACAGGAAAGAGTCTGAGGCAGGACCATGGGGACTCTGCTGGGGAGTTCCCCCTCCTCCACCAGCCTGGTAGTAATCTGGGATCAACACTTGGTGGGGAACAAAGCAGTCCAGTGCTACCATCCCTTCTCCACCATGCATGCAAGAGCCCCATGTCACATGCCTTGCCACCCTTGAGATGCGCCACATGGTTTAGAAGTCCCTGATCTTATGCCTACCCACCTCACTCACCCCTCCTCCTTCCACCCTCAAGAAAATCAGATTTGCTCATTCTTATTTGTTCTAGAAAACTACATGCCCACAGAGCTAAGACATGCTCAGAACTCAGATCCTACTTAAAACCCTCTCATAGAATCTCATTACTCATGGGATAAAAATCCAAACCCCTGATGATCCCCCCAAACACTACACACATGGGTTCCATCTCCCCCTCCTTCCAGCGACAACCTGCCTTTTATTATCTACTCCTTGAAAAACCACCTTCATTCCAGCCTCAGGGCCTTTGCATTTTCTATGGAATATCCCTCCAATCCCCTTCTCCCTCCATATATACCCCATTATTCTTGGACTGTCTCCTCATCATTCAGCCTCAGTTCACGTGTCCTGTTCTCAAAGCATCCTTTGCAGCCCACATTTTTTAATGCCCCCAGCCCTTACTAGGCACACTCCATCCCATCTACCTGTTTATTTCCTTCCTAGTGCTTACCACTATCATATACCTCCCCCTTCCACCTTTATTCCCCCACAACATCCACTCCACAAAGATAGACTCCTGTCTGGTTCACCCCAGAGGTCTCCAAGCCTAAGGAAGTACTTGGCTCATAACTCCAGCTCAGTAAGTACTTTTTGAATAAATGAATGAGCAAGCTCATTTTCCCTTGCCCTTGTCCCATCTCTCAGAGTTCTTCAATCCCCTGTATATATTCCTGTCCCTTTTTTGGAAGAATGCCTTAGCTCCTTCCACTACTTTCTGCCCTGTCTGGCTGTGGGACCACCTCTGACCTGGCATCTGTTGAGTTGATCAGATGACCTTAATTAACCATTCTATTTGGTCTCATCCTAAAAACTCTCAAGCTCTACAAGGTGTTCCCAGGGCAGACCCTAGGCAAGATCCATACTGATTCTGAGTGGTTCCATAAGGCTCACAGGAAGATTTCTCCTGCACCCCACAACTTTGCTGAGTTTAATGTTCTGTCTGAATTTCCTGGAACCCACCTTTTATTCTTTTCTTGGAGAAGCTTTGCTAGACCTGACACCTCTCTTGTGTTGTTCACTTTCTCCTTTGGATTCATTAAAACACACACACACACACACACACACACACACAAACTATCAGACTCTATCCAGTGATTCATTTAGTCAGGGCAACCAAATTCTTGATTCCTCACCCAGGAAGCAAGTCAGAATGTGTGCCCAGGCTCTGTGGCTCCACTTCTACACTGCCTCCCTCCTCCCTGCCCACCTCTAGAAATGATAGGTGTCTGATTGTGGCTCTGTACTCAGATGCCCGGCATTATTTCTGCATTTGTAGTGTACTGAGTCATGTGAAAATAAAGGCTATTGACTGGCTGGCACCCCTTCCCAGAATAATGACTAAGCAAGCATGTTGTTAGTTCCCCCAGCAGCAGTTCTGTGTACATGATAACACAGAGAAAAGATGAAAACTGCTATTCATCTGAGCCAAACAACAGGAAAAAAAAATGCAAGCAGAAAATGCGAGTGCTGGAGGAGAGCGCCGACACAAACATTTTCCTCCAGCGATGGCATCTTTACACCAACCACAAACACAGTTTCCAGACCGGGTGCCCCGGCCACCTGACTGATTAAAGAATGAAGCCGGTAGAAAGTGCTAGAGTCACGTATAGAGTTGGGCTCCAATGGTGGCCTGCCTATCTGCAGACTGACCTCCTGACTGTGGGTGAGACTTTTGGCTTCTTTATGTCTCTGCTCGAGGTAGAACAACATAGTGGCCTAGTGGACAGGTCAGTCCCCCAAGCACAAAGTAGAAACTAGATTCAAATCCCTACAGTTTCATGCAGGCCAGGCCTTTAAACAAGCAGTCAAAGTCTCAAGTCCCATCTCACAAAAATAATAAATTAAGCCTTATTGTGGGCTAAGAAGCCAACCACTATGTTAAGTACTTTTCATAGGAAGCTCTCATTAATCCCCAGGCATCCCCAATGGGGTCCTGTGATAAACTCATTAAAGATCCTCCACTTTATCACGCTTTCCAGGACCTGCACCCTTTCAGAGTTACCTCCATTCTTGGTTCAGTAAGAAGTCAGAGAGTTCCAATGTGCTTAGGCATTACGGCTTAATCTCTTATTTCTCTTGGGACCGGGAACCTCTAGGTAAACAGGCCCAGCTAACCAGCTACATGATGACACACCAGGTGGAGGAAGAGAGAACCACCATTGACCACAGTTGGCCAAACCTACCAGCTGAAGGCAGACCCACGAGGAAGAGCGCCAGCCCAATTCACCTAAGCACAGTCAACACCAGAAGAGCCACCTGGATGAAGCCAGTCTGAATTACTTCATTGTAAACATGATGGCTAGGGACATCGTTACAGTTTTCAGCCACAAAGTTTTTATGGTATTTTGTTATAAGTCAAAAGCTAAC